GCAAGTAAGAGAAGTAGAGGAAAAACTGGGAAGAGAAATGAGAGTGATGCAAGAAAATCATGAAAAACAAGTCAACAGCTTGCTAAAGAAGACCCAAAAAGATAGTGAAGAAAATAACACCTTAAAAAATAGCCTAACCCAAATGGCAAAAGAGGTCCAAAAAGCTAATGAGAAGAAGAATGCTCTAAAAAGCAAAAATGGCCAAATGGAGAAGGAAGTCCAAAAGATTACTGAAGAAAATACTTCCTTAAAAATTAGAATAGAGCAATTGGAAGCTAGTGACCTTATGAGAAATCAAGACACTGTAAAACAAATCCAAAAGAATGAAAAATTAGAAAACAATGTGAAATAACTTACAGGAAAAACAACTGACCTGGAAAATAGATCCAGGAGAGAGAATTTAAAAATTATTGGACTATCTGAAAGCCATGATCAAAAAAAGAGCCTAGACATGATCTTTCAAGAAATTATCAAGGAAAACTGTCCTGATATTTTAGAACCAGAGGGCAAAATAGAAATTGAAAGAATCCACTGATCACCTCCTGAAAGAGATCCCCAAACAAAAACTCCTAGGAATGTTGTAGCCAAGTTCCAGAATTCCCAGGTCAAAGAGAAGATACTGCAAGCAGCCAGAAGGAAACAATTCAAGTACTGTGGAAACACAATCAGGATAACACAAGATTTAGCAGCTTCTACGTTAAGGGTCCGGAGGGCATGGAGTATGATATTCCGGAGGGCAAAAGGAGTTAGGATTAAGACCAAGAATCACCTACCCAGCAAAACTGAGTATAATCCTTCAGGGTAAAAAATGGTCATTCATGAAATAGAGACCTTTCAAGCATTCTTGATGAAAAGACCAGAGCTGAATAAAAAATTCGACTTTCAAATACAAGACTCAAGAGAAGCATGAAAAGGTAAACAGGAAAGAGAAATTATAAGGGATTTATTAAAGTTGAATTGTTTACATTTCTACATGGAAAGATGATACCTTTCTCATGTACATGAAACCTTTCTCAGTATTGGGGTTGTAGGAGGGAATATATATAGAGAGGGCACAGGGTGAGTTGAATATGAAGGGATGATATCTAAAAATAAAATTAAGGAGTGAGAGGATTGTGCAGGGAGAAGGAGAAAGGGAGTGGTAGAATGGGGTAAATTATCTCATATAAAAGAGGGAAGAAAAAGCTTTTACCATGGAGGGGAAGAAGGGGGAGGTGAGAAGAAATGAATGAATCTTACTCTCATTGGGTTTGGCTTGAGGAAGGAATAACATGCACACTCAATTGGGTATGGAAATCTGTCTTACCCTACAAGAAAATAGGGGCGAAGGGATAAGAGAGGAGGAGATGAGAGAAGGGAGGGCAGATTGGGAGAGTGGGTAATCAGAAGCAGAAACTTTTGAGGAGGGACAGGGTCAACAGAAAGAATGAATAAATGGAGGGTGGGATAGGATGAAGGGAAATATAGTTCATTTTTCATAACACAACTACTATGGAAGTGTTTTGCATGACTACATATGTGTAACCTGTATCACGTTGCTTGCCTTCTCAATGAGGGTGGGTGAGCAAGGAGGAAGGGAGAAAATTTGGAACCCAAAGTTTTAAAAACAAATGTTAAAAATTGTTTTTACATACAACTGGGAAATAAGATATACAGGCAATGGGGTATAGAAATCTATTCTGCCCTACAGGAAAATAGAAGGGGGAGTGGATAAGAGAAGGGGAGGGGATAGAAGGGAGAGCAGATCAAGGAAAGTGGTATTCAGAATACATGCCATCTTGGGGTGGGGAGAGGGGAAAATTTGGAACTCGAGATCTTGTGAAAGTGAATGTTGAAAACTAAAAATAAATTAACTAATTTAAAAAAATCAAAATAAAAATTCACAACCTGTCCCCAAACCATGTTTCCAGACCCACTGTATATTACTTACCCTCTCACAGTCTGAAATCAAGCCCTACTGGCTTCTCTGTTCCTCATAAATGACACTCCATCTTCTCTCTGTGATGGCACCAGCCATTCCCCCCACCCAATCTAGAAGGTACTACTCCCTCCTTACCTCAAAGAATCCATGCTTCCTCTAAAATACAGTTCAAGCACCATTTCTTTATTCCAAAGTGCTAGTGCTCTCCGTTCCAAAACTACCTCGCAGTGGAGTTTAAGTAGGAAAATGACATGTTCAGCTCTGCAGTTAAGAAAAATCACTTTGGCAACATTGAGGAGGATGGTCTACCATTATGGGGAGAAACATGAGATAGGAAGATCATGTTAGGAGGCCTTTGCAAGAATCTGGGCAAATGGGGCAGCTAGGTGGTGGAGTGGATAGAGCACCAGGCCTGGAGTCAGGAGGACCTGAGTTCAAATTTGGCCTCCAACCAGACACTTGACACTTTACTGGCTGTGTGACCCTGGGCAAATCACCTAACCCCAATTGCCTTGCCCAAAAAAGAAAAAAAAATAATAATCCAGGCAAATGTTAATGAGGGCCTGAACTAAAGTGGTGACTGTGTGAATAGAGAAAAGGGTAAATTTTGTGGATTTGACATTAGGGTTTGACAACTAACTATGTGAGCTGAGAGTGGGAAATCAAAGATAATTTTAAGATTATGAACCTGGGAGCCTAGAAAAATGATGTATCTTTGATGGAAATAGGGAAATTTGGAAGAGGGGTCATTTTAGGGGAAAAAATGAATACCCTTTTGGACATCCAGGACATCAAGTTTGAAATGTGGAATAGTCTTCCAAAACTGAAGATCAAGGGAAAGACTGTGTGTGCTTGGATATATAGCTCTTTTAGTCATTTGCGTAGAAATGGCAATTAAATCTTTGGAAACTGATGAGGTCACGAAGAGAATACGGAGACAAAAATGAAGAATGCCCAAGATAGAACCCCTGTGAATCTCTACCATGCTAATGATATGAATGCTGATCTAGCAAAAGATTCAGGACACAGGATGGGGCCATGGGAGAATAGTGTCATGAAAATTCTCAATACCAATGAATAAGCATTTATTAAGCACTGCCTGCGTGCTAGACACTGGGGATACAAGAAAGAAGAAAGTTCCTGCCCTCAAGAAACTTACATTCTTTTGAGGATACATGTACATAAATAAACATATATATATATATATATACATATATATATATATATGATAAATACAAGATATTTGTGGGGAGGAAGGACACTGGTAACTGGAGAAACAGAGCTAGAGCAAAATTTTGAAGGAAATGGAGGATTGGAAACAAGTTTCTATTTTATCCTTTTGAGTGTGTTAATAGCAAGTAGGAAGGAGAGTGACGCGATTAGACTTGGATTTTAAGAAAATCACTTTGGTAACTAGAGAATATAGGAAAATAGATTAGAAAGGAGATGAAACTTGAGGCAGGAAGCTATTGCAATAGTTTAGGCAAAAAGAGATGAAGAGTGCCTGAATTAAGGTTGGGGACCATTCAAGTAGAGAAAAGAGTATCGACAGGAAAGATCGTGTGGAGATAGGAATGTGAAGCTTCGGCAAATGATTTATTGATGAAGATGAGAGAGCATGAGGAGTTGACAAATATAGGATCTTCAAGCTAGAAGGGACCTCAGAGATCATCTGATCCAAACTCCCTGATTTTATAGAAGAGGAAAAACTGAGGCCCAGAGAGGGTGACTGACCTGCCCAGCATTATACATACAGTCGTGGCAGAGCTGGGATTTGACTCCAAGTGCCAGGGTGAATGTAAGGATAGTGTCGTCCTGGACAGAAACTGGGAATATTGGAAGGAAGGGCTCATTTTTGGTGGGGAAAGATGATAAGTTCAGTTTTAGATGTGTAGATTTGGAGAATTGCCTGTGGAACATGCAGTTTCAGATCCAATGTATTCTAAAGCATTTTCAATATTAGTTATAATTTTGAAAAATACATTAGTCTTTGCAAGTAAGAATTTTTTAATTAGTTGTGTTTGTATTTCCAGTGTCTAGCACAGTATCTGGTCCATGAAAAGAACATAACAAATTTCCTCACTTTTCCTCCTTATTTCTTTCCTACTACATTCTTTTTTCTCTTCCTTTTCTTCTTTTAAAATTGTCAGAATATAACAGGAGTTTATTGACTCCTGTGTTTGTATTTCAAAATTTTACTTCAGTTCTATTCTTTCCATCAAGAATGCCTGAAAGTCTCATATCATTAAAAGTTCATTTTCCCCCTGTGGGATTATGCTTAGTCTTGCTTAAATAAGTTATTCTTGATTGGAAGCCTCTATCTTTTGTCTTTTGTAATATTGTATTTCAAGCTTTCCACTTCTTTATAGTGGTTGCTACTAAATCTTGTGTGATCCAGTACTTGAACTCTTTCTGGCTACTTGCAGTATTTTTTTTTCTTTGACCTGTAAGCTCTGGATTTCAGATAGGATGTTCCTTGGAATTTTCATTTTAGGGTTTCTTTCTAGAGTTTACTGGTAGATCTTTCAGTTTTCACTTCACCCTTTCATTCTAATAGATCTGGGCAGGTTTTTTTCCATGATTTTAAAAAATATTTATGGTTTTTCTTTTACTAATATTTCCCTCCTACTACTCCATCCCCATTGAGCAAATTAAGCAAAAAAAAAACCTCATACCTCTAACCCCCTCCAAAAAATAACAACAAAGTCTTTAATACATTACTATATTGTCTAGCAGAACAAATTCCCTTATTGTCCATGTCTGAAAATTCTGTCTGCATTTTAAGTTTATCACCTGTCTGACAGGAGGTGAGTGACATATTTCATCATCATTCTTTTGGACTTACCATTTTGGTTTATCATTGCATTTATCATTGCTGGCCCCAGGCCCTTTCACCTAGGTGGAAGACTGTAAATTCAGAGCAATAGAACTGCAGGCTTCCCCTTGGCCTGAGCTCCATACTTTGGTCACTAAACTGCAGACCTCAGACTAGGCTGGGATCTGAATGCGTTACCTGACTCAGGTGGATCAGTGTCATATAGCTGCTATTTACTTTTATCTCTTACTGCTCTTTTCTCAGCACATAGCCTCAGGCTAGATGTGAACAGGATCTGTTGAATGGGCAACTCTTCCTTTTCCTGGAACACAACTGCAGATTGGCCTCATTACCCAGCCCTTCTAAGTCCGCACTAGGTCCACTACTCAGCTGTGGAGCTACAGAGTTGCCAACCAGCTCCTGTTCTTACTTCCTGCACAGTTGGGGTGAGTACTTGCTGGATTCATATCCACTTTTGCTCTGCAATACATCTGCAGGTCATACCTCACTTGGGTTCCCGCCTACATCTTCTCTGTATGTGCAAACCAGTTCTGGGGTTAGAAAAACACAGCTGCTTGCTGGCTCCTGTTCCTGTTCCTTAAGCTAGAAAAATGACTCAATGTATTTTCTCCTTGGATTTCAAACTCTCCCACACACCCCCCAACTTTAACCTCCCTCCATCTTCACTGCTTTGACACTCATCTTAGATCTTTGTTGTTGGAGTAGTTGTGGAGAGAGCTAGGCTATACTGCATCCTCCTAGTCTACTATCTTAGCCATTTTCCTCTAGTAGTCATTTAACAGGTACTTTTAAGAACATCTCAGTCTATGTGCTGTGTTGAAAGAGTTTTGTATGGAGTGGCTCTCCCTAGACAAGGAGTGATTTTACTAAGCAAAATTAATAAGACAGTTGATTTTACTACCTACATGCCTCCAGTAGAGACATCAAAAAAGGAAAACCAAATGGAAGACTGCTTACTTTTGCAACCTATTTTGTATCTTTGATTTACAATCAGAAATTCTATGTAAATTTAATTCATAGGAGTAAGGGCCCCTAAAGACTATTATTATACATAAGACACAAATCTTTTCTGTTTTGGTTGTTTTTCCCCTGGAGACTTGCCATGTTATTTGTCTTAACTCTCAGGAGATCATCATATTGATAAGCATTTAGAATTATACTTGTCATAACTCAGTCATCTGTTTCAAAGCTCTCATTTTATAAATTAGGAAACTGAGGCCTAGGAAAGAAAAGTATGTATTTTTAAAGTCAGACAGCTAGTTAATAGCAGAACAAGATCTACTCACCAAAGCTAAAACAAGACATTTATGTACTATGGACAAGGTTCAAAAATTGTGTCCCAAATATGACTGTCTCTTAGTGGTTTTGAGTTTCATGTAATACCTGTAATTTGACTTACTATAAAATAAATACCTGTATGCCGTGAAGAATAGACTTTATTAAATATTTGTGTGTAAATTTTTTTTAAAAATTAGTCTCTTGAATTAACTCCCTATCTCCAGCATGTTACATATTAAGCAGCTTACCTCCCTGCTAGAACTAGGCCTGTGCCTAACTCCAAGAGTTAATAATATCTTATAATATCTCATTTCATCCCTCATATTCGTACAACTTCCCATGATAACCCTTTCAGGGAGTTTCAGGGAGCAATTACAAAACCAAGAAACAGAAAGATAGTCTCAGATCACTCAGACAAAAGCCTGAGCAAGCAAATCAGATTAGACTGAATTCTGATGGCTTTAGAATAAAACTATAACAATAATTATAATCATGCCATCTCTTACATATGAAAATGACATTTTAGACCTCAGTCAACAAGCCTTTACTAAGCTCTTACACTGGGGGTACAAGGGCAAGAATGCTCTCAAGGAGCTTTGGGGGAAATATCCAGTACACCTCTAAGTTTATACAGAAGAAATACAAAATAAATATAGGTTGATTATGGGGAGAGAGCACTAGCAGAAGCAGTGAAAGGTTTCATGGAAAGAGCAGTGCCTAGGCCCAGGGCTTCTGTGGCCTTCTAGGTCCTTGGATGTGAGCTTTTGACTGAGTCCAAGTTTTACAGAACAAATCCTTTTATTAAGGGGATTTATTCTGTGAAGTTTGAATTCAGAGGGCTGCACTTAAGGACCTAGAGGGCCACATGTGGCCTCAAGGCTGCAGGTTCCCCCATCCCTGGTCTAAGCTGAGTCTTTTTTGGGGGGGAGGGGGGCAATGGGGGTTAAGTGGTTTGCCCAGGGTCACACAGCTAGTAAGTGTTATGTGTCTGAGGTCGCATTTGAACTCAGGTCCTCCTGAATCCAGGGCCAGTGCTTTATCCACTGTGCCACCTAGCTGCACCCTAAGCTGAGTCTTGAAGGAAGAAAGGAATTCTGTGAGATGGCAGTGATGAAGAAGGGCATTCCAGGCATGGGAAACAGTACCTCTGCACAGTCAGGAGATGGAGAGGCATTTGTGAGGACCAGAAACAAGATCATTTTGGCTAGACCACAGAATTCAGGAAAGGAGAGCAGAGGTTAGTAAAATATACTAAGGCTAGCAAAGGAAGTTGGAGCCAGGTTGTAATGGATTTTAACTGCCAAAGAAGAATTTCTATTAGATCCTAAAGGCATTAGACAGCCCCTTAAGTTTAAGTAGGGGAACACCATAATCTAACCTGCAACCTCCTTCTAATATCTCCTTTCTAGTTTATTTGGGAGTTTTTCCCCAAAAAGGCATTGGATTTTGATTCAGAAGACTTGAGTTCAAATCCCAGCTCTACTACATACTTCTTGAGTGACATTGAACAAGTCACTTCTCTAGGCCTCAGTTTGAGGGCCTAGATGATCTTCGAGGGCTTTTCCAACTCTTAGTCCATAACCTTATGTTGGTGAACTTTTATTTATCCATCTACCTTCTCAACCATTGCCACGGTAAATAACAGCATCCATCTGTGAGATAGCTAGCCAGATTGAGGTATTGGAGTATATATTCCTGGAATAGAATGAAAGCTAACTGGCTAAGAGAAAAATCAAACTTATGACTTTGTCAGCAGGGCCATCGCCTGTTACTAAGTTAACTAGCTCTAGACAGACATGTCACCAAAGGAATAAGTTCCAAAACCACACATGTTATTTGTTATTTCCAATGACTTGATCTATGTTAAATATGCTTTTAATCATTACCATTATTATATTACAACAGTGATTGTTTAAGTTGTCACTTTTTATAACCACCTGACTTGTTAGAGTTCGTTTACATGTACACACTTTTACACGGGGGGAAACGGATATGTGACTCTTAAATATTTTCCATAAATTCAGAGACAATTTGAAAAGAGAATGTGGTACGATAAAATAGGATAATTAAGCAAGAAGAGTAGAGAAGCCATGCACTTAAAGGTAATTACAACAAACTCTCCATTAGTGCTGCAAGGCAAGAGGCCAAGGTCTAAGTGATTTTTAACCACATCCAGGACTTGAAAGGTAAAAAGGAAAGGTGGTGGATGCTATTCCACTGTGTGCCAAATAGCTAAGGAAACATTTATTAGCCCTTCTCTTGCCAAAAAGATACCTGATCTTCAGAATGTTCAATTTGAAGTCAGATCTAGATTCTAATCCCACTTCTGACCCTAGCTGCATGACCGTGAGCAAGTCATTTAATCTCTCCAAACTTTAAATTTGTAAGACGGGGTTAATAATATGTATTACTTACCTCCCAAGGTTGTTATAGGGCTCAAAGTAAGTAAACATAAAGTGCTTTGCAAATCTTTAAGGGCTATGGAAATGGCATGTGGTGGTAGTGGTAGTGGTAGCCAAGAAGAGACTACTTCATGATGCTTAACCTTGTGACCCTCTCTCATGTCTCAGTGACATTTCACGCAAAGCACTCATGAAATGTATATGGAAAGAACACTATGGTAATTTCTCTTTTTTTTTCTTTTTTCAGTAATTTCTCTTTTGCCATAAACATGTTGTATGACCTTGGCCAAATCATTTACCCTTTCTGATCCTCTTCATCTAGAAAATGATGAGTTAACACCAAAGAAAGAATATGTATACAATGATCCACTTGGGGAACAGAAAGAAAATATTTAGAACTTCTATTTGTAGTTTTTATCTAAAAGATTTTAAGAAAGTGAGCTAGTTATATCTGATATGCAGATTGATAGTGCTCCCCTTACTTGGTCAGAGTGTTACATGGTCACATGTCACATACGGTATGCAAGTGTTTCACAGGTAAACACACAAGTAACACCATTTGTTGGGCAGGAGAACACAGGAGGGCTCCTAACACTAACAGGTGTTCTAGTACGAGTTCACTGTTGATCCGGTCAGACAGGAAGATAGCTTTGGAGGGGTTAAATAAGCTTCTAGTCTAGTCTTCTCAAAAGGGTTGCTTATAATAGGAGCACCAACTCCTACAGCATTCCCTAAGCACACTTCTTGCAGAGGCAGGCAAGAATAGGAGTATAACTCCTTCAAGATCCCCTAAGCCTCAGTGAGGGTCAGTTGAGACAAGCACACAGATTCCCCCAAGCCTTGATGGGGGCCAATCAAGGCAGGTACATGCAGTCCTCTATGCATTACCCAAATCTCCAAAATGGGTTCCCCCACTCACTGACCAATGCCTACCTGCTGTATAGGGCAACAGGCAAAGAAGGCATCTTGCCAACATTAAGCACACAAGTTAACTTTAGCAATATCATCAAGACCTAGCATAGCTCAGGTGTACATTATGCCATTCCACGCAAGCATGGTGGAGATGTTTTCAACCATAATTCATGGGAAATATTATCTAGGATCCTGGAACGATCCTGGCACTAAAAAGAATAACAAAATTCTACTTACACACACTAAAATACACCTTACTTACAGCAAGCTATCCTGAGAGAAAAATGGGAATTCCACAGAACAGAAGATTAATTGTGGTGTCCTCATTCATTTGTTTGCATTTGGCATATTGTCACATAGTGCAGTTTACATATTCATAGTCAGGCAGCTTTATCTAGTTTTAGCTAAACTAGCCCTCACCAAATGGACATGCGGTTTTACAGGAGTGCTTCAAAGAAACCTTGGATTGATTATAATGTTAATAATTCAAGCACAAACAATAAGATGATGTTAGAGCTGCATTTCCTACCCCTAGTAAGTAACTCTTTTATCAAATATATTAACAGGTTTTACACACACACACACACACGCACACGCACACACACATATATATTTATAAGTTGTACTACTGTATTAACATGTGACATGTATTATAAAACATTCACAAAACAAATTTAAAAGGATGAAATAAAACAGCAAAAAAATTTTATTCATCAGAGTGTACAGTCAGAAAAGTTTGGAACCTCCGGCCTAGAAGATGGCTGAAGTCTAAGGTCCCTCCTAGATCTAGAATTTTCTGCTTTAAGACATCTGGAAATTCACGCACCTGTTCC